TTCCTGGCTGAACCCAGCACAAGTCAGTACAGTAATAAAACAAAGCAAACCAAAAAACAAAGCCCCCGACCCCCCAAGTTACGTATTTATGAGTTATTTCAAAATCCGAAGCGAAGACGCTTCCGTAGAAACGATTGCGAAAGCTCAATCACTCTTCCGGTTTCGCAGCGACGAGACGCGTAACCGTGGCGGGATGAAAGGACGCACGGTCTGCACCCGCTGACAAGAGCTGCCGAAGGAAAGCAGCCCCCGTCGACCAACGCGCGACCCGCGCGGCAGCGTCACACGAACAGCAGCCTCGACGTTCAACGCGCTGATCTGAATAAAGGTTTTCCCCTCCCGCTACCCACCCCCATTTCCAACATTTCTGACGTTGCACCTCGGTGAGGATTCACAGAAACGGGAACTTCAGCAGCACCGTTAGCAGACCCCAGCATGCGGCACCAGGAAACGGTGTCTTCCCCTCGGTCTGCTTCAAGACAACCTAATTCCATCCCTGAAAAATGTCTGGCAAGAGTCTGATTCCCCATCTCCTCAGGCTCGAGTGCCAACATGCTGCAGACGATGTGCCAGACAAAACACATCTCTATTCCACAGAAGGAAGAAGCACGGGGCTTTCCAAAGAACCGGGATCTGCTCATCCCTACTCACCATTTCCAAGCAATGGGGAAGCCCCAGTCGAGGGGGAAGCTGCCCCCAGGAGATCTGGGCAGGGGCGCGGGTTGTGCTTTTTGTTCCAATGTTTTCACTTGCGGAAATGAAACTGGGCTTGTTCAGCCTGGAGAAGAGGAGGCTCTGAGGAGACCTCATTGCAGCTTTCCAGTATCTGAAGGGGGCCTACAAGGGTACTGGGAGAGGACTTTTTACAAGGGCCTGTAGTGACAGGACAAGGGGTGATGGGTATAAATTGAAATCAGGGAGGTTTAGATTAGATGTCAGGAAGAAATTCTTCACAGAGAGGGTGGCGAGGCACTGGGACAGGTTGCCCAGAGATGTTGTGGATGGCCCATCCCTGGATGTCTTCAAGGCCAGGCTGGACGAGACTTTGAGCAACCTGGTCTAGTGGAAGGTGTCCCGGCCCATGGCAGGGGGTTGGAACTAGATGATATTTAAGGTCCCTTCCAACCCAAACCATTCTATGATTCTATGATTCTATAAATAAAGTTAGAACCAGGAAAAGGATGAAATCCCGGTTCTTTGTGGGATCCGTTATTTGATTCCCATATGACGTCAAGCAGCCCAGTAATTTTGTGGCTACCTTGATGGGAAAGTTGAAGCAGGATTCAATCGCAGCCTAAGGCAGGATCCTAGAATGGACAGGGGTCACCAGGCGCAGGGATTTCACCCACCTCAGCGTGGCCCACAGCCCCTACCAACGCCATCTGCAAACCCACCCAAACCATCCCCCTTCACAGGCAGACCGGAAGCACCCAACCACCAGCAAAGCCTTTTTCTCCCTGCCCGTGCCCCAGCGCACGGCACGCGACTCCGGTTACTCACCTCAGCGTCCCGCCGAGTTCAACAGCAAGATCCCCAGAGCCTCCGGTCCGAGCGATTCCCCAGGGACTGCAAGAGACATCCCTCCCTGCCCAGGAAAAGCTAAACACGGTCATTCAACTTCCCAGCGCAGCCCTCGCGTACGAGCTGCAGACGGCCAAAGAGGGGATGCTGGGGACTCGGAAGCCGCCTCATGGTGTCACAAGTTTTTCACATACTTGTTTGGCCTTATAATCAAATGAAAAATAGTGCTGTGTTGGGGTTGGGGGGTTTTTTAACACTGTTTTCTCGTACCAAGTGCTAAACACGGGTGTCAGGAGGATGGGGCCAGGCTCTTCCCAGTGGTGTCCAGTGACAGGACGAGGGGCAGTGGCCATAAACTGGAGCCCAGCAGGTTCAACCTGACCATGAGGAAACCCTTCTGCCCTGTGAGGGTGACAGAGCACTGAACAGGCTGCCCAGAGAGGGGGTGGAGTCTCCTTCCCTGGAGACTTTCCAAAGCCGCCTGGACTTGTTCCTGTGTGATCTGCTCTAGGGGATCCTGCTCTGGCGGGGAGGTTGGACTAGATGATCTCTAGAGGTCCCTTCCAACCCCCTCCACCCTGTGACTCTGTAAACTGGGCTACTGAAAAAAAAACCCCAATCTGCACGTCTCACATGTATTTCACGGGTCATTTTTCACAGCATCTGCTCAAGTGAAGAAGTTCTCCCACAACAGCCAAGCAAACATCTGGATGGATAGAGGAAGAGGACAGTGATTAATTCTCATTACAATCTCTAGTTTCTACAGAAATACAATGCAAGCTTAAATTTGGAGAGCATTGGTGCCAGCTCTGTGCTTGCTGGCAGAAGCTTCTACCATACAACTGGCTAAAAAGGAGAATGTCTCCACAGTTGTAGATCCACGCCCTGAAGAGAACAAAGATGTGAGAGACCTATGTTACCGGTCAGCAGGAGAGTACTAACTGACACCAAAACTCTCTGTTCTCAACACCTGACCATCTCCTGTGGCAATCAGGTAACTCAGCCCACAGTTCTGAGCAGTACTTGATTCCCACTTTGAGAATAAACAATTAGAAGAATGGACCAGTTGAAGAACAATCATGTTTTCTGCCTTCAGACTGGCAGGAAGACAATGAGAATGCTTCAAGAGTGAGATGAGCGCTCCCAGCAAAGTTCTGCTTACAGCAGTTGCAGGACCTTGGGGAAAAAAAAGGAGGGGAGAAAAAATGAAGTTTGAACATTAAGATTTACACCCTCAAAGACTTAAAATATATTTCTGCCTCATTCTCAAAGAAAAGTGAGACTATTAAGGACCAACCACTAAGGAATAAAAACAGCGGGCAACCAAGCAGACCTTGTCATATGACTGTCAGGCAATTAGGGTTAGTAAAAAGTAAAAGTGTAATTACAACAATTCTACTTTCCTCAATACTTAGCCGCTTTACAACGCTGCGCTACTGCAGGGCTGTTGCATATAAAGCTTTCTAAAACACAGTGCTGTCGTGGTTGAGCCGTGGCAGGCAGTTAAGCACCACCAGTCGCTCTACCACTCCACCCCCCCCCACTCCCAGTGAGGAAGGGTCGGAGGAAGACAAGGGAAGCTCGTGGAAGTTGAGATAAGAACTATTTAACGATAGAAATGAAACTGATGGAGTTGCTCACAATGCTATTGCTAATGAGTAATTAAAAGAACAGAGGAATAGAACCAATGATACAGGATCTCATCACCCGTGGGTGGACACAGCCAGGTTCCAGGCAAGGCAGAAAAATAAATCCAAAAACCTGGAGAAAGAAGAAAAAACAAAACGGAGAAAAAAACCCTCAATCCACCCGGGAGCCGAGAGCAGGAGAGGGAAAAACCTTTCAAACCCTACTCCTACATCAATCTGCTTGACAGAAGACCCTCTTTCTGTGCTGAGCACCCACCTCCAGGCCCGAACAAAGACCCCGGTGCGCTCAGTCGACCCTTACCCACCTTCCAGGACCCTCACCCACCTTCTGGGCCGTGCCAGATCAAACATCCCCCTCCCCAGGCCTGCCCTGCAGCGCCGCTGGTACCGGGGTGACACCAACCACTCCGCTTGGTGTGTCATGAGGTGAAACACACTGTTATAAACTGGTGCCTGGAACCAGGACAGCTGCTGTGGCCAGAATCAACAGGATGAGGTAGGCACAGCCACCTTCTCACTTCAAATGCAATTCACCTATAAAATTGATTTAAAAGGTCCGGAAGGAGGGACAAAATCGGGTCGCTGGGTAGTTCACAGTCTCGTTCCCAAATGAACATACCTCCATCTCCAACCCAAAGGGGTTTTCATCGACACCACGTTCCCCGTTCAAAGAAAAACTCTCCAGAACGCGGTACCGCGGACCGAAGACCGGCACGGGAGACACCGCGCTGCGGGCGCGGGCTCCAACGCGCGTCCCCACCCAGCTCTGAGCCAGCGCTCGCTCCGGCGCCCAGCAGTTCAGAACGCTGCGGGTCGCTTCCGACGTTCAGGGGTGCTGGGCTTACGCCTGCTGATGGTTCTGCAAATTTCATTTCCTTGCAGGTTTTAGTGTATGATTTGCAGATGCACGCCACGTTCACCGACAGGTTAGCAAGCACCAGTTCAGGGAGAGCGCCCTGCCTGGAGCGAGTGTTGACCGTTCCATCCCCTCTGGGACTGCCGAAGCTGCAGAAGTTCAAGAAAGATGCCAGTTTCACGCTCCATTTGAAAATTATTTTAATACTATAAAACTCATTTGTTCACATATTTTGTACAAAAGATGAGTCGTTTTCTCTTAATTACAGGAGAATCATTTCAACTTCGAGATTTCAGCTAAATAGGTCCAAAACAAAGACTGGGTTCTACTGGTTCTGGAGGGTCCCAACACAGCTCACCCAAGGTCTCTTTCCAGTTTGGCTCTCACGGTTATGGACCAGCTTGATGGAAAACACCCCACATCATTGACTCTTCGGAGGCTTGTAGTGAATTCGGCAGCGCTCGTTAAATACCTGAGACACCAGAACAGAAGAGCAAAAAGCCAATCAGCCCTCATCCAGGGGACGAGCAGAACTCCAGAGCTAGCTCAGGCAACTCTCTCCTCACGCAGCACCCACCTCAAGCCGCCCAGCCCTGCTGTACCAAGAAATGGTACTTACCAAGGCCTTTGTCTCCATTGCCCTTCTCTCCTGGCTTTAGTGAATCCAAAGTTTGCAGCCTGGTGCCGAGGGGCTGCACAGCACTACGTGTCCTCCCTCGGACAAGGCAAGCTTAGAACCCTGGTAGTCCGTTATCCTCAAAAATGATGACGCCCTTGGGGCTATTTTTTTAAACAGGGAGGGAAACGATCAGTGGGAGGCTCCTGACCAGCTGCGTTCTGCTAAGTTCAATCTGGCGTTCCAGTTTGGACACCGTACTCTTCCCTGAGCACATGCACTTTACGTCGTCGTGCCAGCTAAAAAGAGGCGCGCGGGCTCTTGGAAGCCACGTCGACGCTTCGGTTACCTGACGGCCGGTGCCCATGCTGCCAGCTCTCCTGTTGCAAAGGGCACGCTGCTCTCCGCTCTGGCGCCTTCTCGGAGTAAAATTTAGGACATCGAACCAGCCCGGAGCTCAGGCTGACTTAGCTGAGCTGCAGGCCCTGCCAAGCAGCCCGCTCACCCTAAGGAGGGCCAGCGAACGCCGCTATTTAAAGCCAGGCAGCTGGAATCAAAAGCGCGACACGCAGGCTCGCACCGAAGTTCCAGGTGCTCTTCACAGGCAGAGTCCGTATTTATTCGTTTGGCTCCAACCTTTGTCCAGCAGGTCCCGAAAAGTGGCAGGAGCACCGCCTAGCACTGAGGTGCTGGCGGCTATTAGTCTCCCCCTCTCCCTGCCCCCAGCGCCCCTGCAAGAGCACGCTTTGCCAAGCTGTCCGGAGACTGCTCAGATCCAAGCACCTTCAGGATGTCAAGTTCCGTGAACTCCCCCACTGGCCTCACGGGCAAAGCGAGCAGTCTGGGAATTCTGGGGAACTTACGCATCTCTCTATAAAAATAGGTTATTTTAAACCACACTTTCCTAGAATCTGCTGCAGCTGATCTCCTTATTCACAGCACAGAACCTGCGGCAACCTCAGCAAAAGTGAAGGTTGTAGCGTGCATTAGTTTTAGCACTGATTCTTAACAATTTCTGAGTAATTTTCAACTTATTCTCAGATTTAATTTACTTTAAGAACAGGAAGAAATTCTTCCCGGAGAGGGTGGTGAGGCACTGGGACAGGTTGCCCAGAGAAGCTGTGGATGCCCCATCCCTGGAAGTGTCCAAGGCCAGGCTGGATGAGGCTTGGAGCAACCTGGTCTAGTGGAAGGTGTCCCTGCCCATGGCAGGGGGGTTGGAACTGGATGGGCTTTAAGGTCCCTTCCAACCCAAACCATTCTGTGATTCTATGATAATACAACGCGCTCCAATGATAAATTCCAGCGTGGAGGTGCTGTACAGGGTGTACAAGTGCCTTGTTTTGGAAGTCAATCCTTGTTTGCTATCAGCCAAACAAAATGCCAGCGTATGCATTTCTACAAAGCAGCATCTTTCTGTCTGCTACTACTGCTATCACTACCCGGAGTTAAGGGGTTGAAAATAACTTCCCGTTTCCTAATCAGATTTTTCCAATCAGTTTTCTGTTGGAGAGGGTTAATGTAAACACGTGAGTGCACCTTCCAACTAAAGTCTGCAGCAGTACAAAAGAGCAGAGGCCTTCACCTGCAAACCAGTAACCACTTGTATGTAACCAAGGGAACTTGGTCCACACTGACTGGGTCCGATTCCTGCGATGACATATTCCACAGGCAGCTAAATGGGACATTTATGCCTATATTCAGATGGAGACAACAGCAGAGCTGGAGGTAAAACCCAGTAGTGCTTCCTCCTCAAGCCCCACTGCAAACACTAGCAGGCTAAGACACCCCTGCGCCATCCACACCTCACTATTTCTAAGCGATGCGTTCTCCACCTTCAGGGAAGACTGGATGTTTCTGTCACTAGCCAAAGCTGAGCGCAGCTGCAGGAAGTCACTGGCTTCGGTGCTTACTGTGGTGCCGACCCTGGGCTTCAGAATGGAGGTAGAGTGGGGCAGGCCTTCCCCTCCCCCCTTTTAAATAAAACGGACAGCAGAGCTGCCACGAAACGTTTGCCACTGGTGGCCTGCAGCACGGCCTTAAAGCTGTGCTGATGCTTAGTCAGAACCGAGCTGGCTTTAAGTTAAGAAAGCGTGGCTTTAAGTTAAGTTAATCATGCTTAAGAGCATGATTAGCTTTTTTCAGGCCGTACGGAGTACTGACAGCAAAGCATACCTGGAAAAATGTCTAGATGCTCATCTACTCAGTCTGCGCTGAGCTGTACCGTGGGGACTAGACCTTCCAGAACACGCAAGCTGCGTTGCATCTACGCCGATGCAACCTAGGGGACTAAAATCCTGAAGTAGAGACGAAAAAGGGAGCTGCAGCTTGCGCTAGCTATTTGGAAAAATCCTTTTTGCATTTAGAGAGGGGAAGAGGTTCTCCGTACGGTACTGAAAAGCTAAAACAAATGAGAAAAGGACGCTGGAGGCGACAGGTTGCAACGACAGAATACAGCCACCTCCACATCCAAGCTTGGTGTGAAGTTCACTTTGTAACAAGAGAGTGTCTGAGGCCATAAAACCTTGCCCCCTCTGAGAGCAACGGCAAGCCTGCCCTTCGCCCAGGGGAGCATCAGTCCGGGCCTGCAGAAGCTCCATCAAAAAAAAAGGGTCAACTTCTACAGCCCCACCCCCCTCTGGCCTCTGCTCAGAAGCACAGTCGGTACCAAACACGGCCGAATTCGAGAGACTCATCACGCTGACAGTGTTAGGGGGCCAGCAAAGCTTTTCGGACAGGCTGCCATGGAAAACCTACAAAGCCCTTAGCCACTGGGCAAGGCAGAGAAACGGATTGAGACGGGGTGCAGTCCACAGTCCTTCAACCCTGTAAAACCAGATGCTTGAACTTCCTTTGCAGTGCAACTGAAAAGCTTTGATCTCTGCATCCAGAACTGGGAAAAGAACTGACCTGAAACATCTCCCCCGGCACTGCCTGAGCCTGTTTCTAATCACCCTGCCTCGTAAGGCACCAGTCCCGCAGCTCCAGTACGGGCCTGTCTGCAGTTTGCAATCAGCCATCACTATTAAAATCAACACTGTTTTAAATGACTGAGTACCTTCCAGCTTCTGTCGTTTACCACTTCTTCAACATTCAGCTCCGACTGCATCAATTTCAACTGCGGAAAATAACAGACAAAGAGGTTACTGTCAAGCAGGCCTCCCTGCGGCCTTCAGTACCTACTACCATCGCAACTTCCCGGATCGCAACCCCGGCGCGAGGCGCACATCCCCGCCGACGGTGCAAACCGAAGGGCACGACGCGCAATCCCACCCCTTCCCGGCGTCTGGCCCTTCCCTTCAGCCAATACACGGGGCGGACTGAAGTCTACAGGGGCACGGTGAAGGCGAGCTCGCGACACAGGCCTGGCAACGGTGGCTCCCAGTTACTAATGCTCCATTCTTAAACACCACTCATCAAGATTTGCTAGCAATTAAGTGATTAACATTAACGGCTTCACAGAGAGAAATAACTAGGCCCAGTTCGAGCGCTCGGCACGGGGAATGCCAGCGCTGGGGGTAGCTCTGCAGCCTGGAGTTGCCATTCTTCCCCACGGGCATTATTATTAGAGTCATACAGGGAGCTGGCAGCAAAGCTAGGATGGAACACAGATCCGATTCTCAGCTTAGCATTAAAATCAGAGACATCCCCTCCGCTTCCTTTGCCGCCTACTCTCTGCGCTGACCAAAAAAGGGTCCACGAGAACAGACCGCAGATTGTGCCGGTGAACGTGTTCCGTGATGACAGCAGGACAGATGGGGTTTACACACAGATGCATGAGTTGTGGCAAGAACTTCCTTGAGCACTCACTCACCCCGTGAGAAGTGTCAGAGTCTCTTTGTCTTGCACTTTGTCTCACTGTTAGCAACTGCGAGGGGCAGGGAAGACCACTGTGTGCAGGTGACCTGCAGTAATTTTGGCCCTGAAGCAACAGCAGGAGGTTTAAGAACCACCTGCCATTTAGGATGTAGTTCTGTTGGAGTCTCTAACACAACAGCCTAAGGACCAGCGTTTATCCATTTTAAACACATGGATTCAGTGGGAGAGCTGGTGTGCAGGTACAAGCCGAGGCAGCAATCCCACCAAAACCATCCCAAGTAAGACGTCCAGACCCAACACAAGTAATACAGCTGTTGGATGAACTTTTACCTACTCCATAGGATCCCAAACTGAAATAACGACCCAGCATCCCCAGGGTGACAAATGACCAGGATCAGTCCCTATAAAACAACCACTCAGAAGATCTTCAGCAGTTCAACACGGCTATACAGGGGGGTTTGTTGTTGTTTTTAAAACATACTGTGACACTGAAACAAGCCTTACTAATTCACTTGATAAAGCTAATAATCATTAGGCTGTATGTTTTGGATTTCCAGAATTGATTTGGTTGGATATTTAACGACACTGCATTCAGATCAACTGAGACGGTAACAAATTAATACCATAATCAAATGGTGGCTTAACGTAAGTGGATTAAAAGAATTGGCTGGTAGGCTGACACAACTCCAAGTTTTCTTATTCAGTAACCCAGAAGTAGGAATTTTGGATAAAAGTCCTCTGATTTGTACCACTAGCAGGATGAGAGAAACACAAATAACCAGAGAAAACAGATCTATATTGCAGGCAAGTGAAGGGGAACTCGAAATGCGGGATCTTAACGCAGGATGTGTTCTGTCAAGGCAGCTCACCTGAGAAGTAGGAAACACACAACCCTCATGGAGAACAAAAAACAAAACCAAACAAACCCCAGGAGGGGCTACACCTCATAAAGTTCAAAGGCAAATTTGAGGTCATCTCAACAAAAGATTTCTGGGATGTTTCCAAATCACGGCTGGCTTTTAACATTTTACATGACTTGCAATTATTAAACATTATCACTGTCATCCTCCTAGTGGCCTCAGGTTTTGGGCTCAGTAACTCAATGATTTAAAGAATTGGCTCCACAAACAAAATCTGGAGGAAATACCCTTAGTTTTCCAAATATGGATGCTTGTTAGCAGCTCCTCAAGTGAGGCTTTAAGAATAAAACCACTCGCCTGCCACCTGGCTCTTTAACTCCGAGCTCACCACAGGGCACGTCTCTGAAAAGCACATGAACAAACAGTTCATGCACACTATACCTGGGAAAAATCCGATGCTTGAGCTCAAATCACCTCCTCAGGAAGCCCTTTAACTACAACTGCATCAGCATTCAACTGCTCTTGGAAACAGGGGCTACAACAGGCTCCTCTTGGAACTAGAGGCAACTGGATTTTGAGGAAGTTCACCACCACAAAAGCAAAATTTCAAGACCAATCTCTTCAAGTCAGTGACGTGGATGATGGCATCG